ATGGACCATGCGGCGGGCGCCCCCGGAGCCGGGCCGGCGCCCAGCGACGCGGACCGGTTGCGCGTGTGGACCTCGCGGGCCGCGGCCGCCGGCCAGCGGGGCGTCGGGCAGAAGCCGCGGGCTCGATCGATGGTCCCCAGGGTAGGCTGGACGCCGCCTCGACCTCGAGGTCCGAGGATCGAGGTTCCATCTCGTCTCCTCTTCTCCTCGGAGGAAGCTCGATGTACACAATCAAGTTTGACTCAGGCCCCAGGACCGTCCAAAGTGACTCAGGCCATCGGATCGGGGCGCACGTGACCCAGACATGCTCGCGTCGTGAACAACATCATGGCGGTTGTTTTTGTTGTACCTTTTGTGCCTTCAGAGGCCTTCGCTGGGCCCCAGGACCGTCGTCAAAAACAGGCAATCGGTTCCAGGGAATGGGTCGAGAGACCTCTGGGGCTTGACGTTGTGAAAAACACGACGTCGGGTGTCTGCGGTTCTCGATTCATCGGGGTGGTCCCGATTGAGCATCGAGGATTCTGGTGTTCGCGTCGGTTCCCAGAGGCTGTTCGTCCTCGGGACGCGTTCCAGCAGCTGCGGCTCGCCGAGGGCGTTCTGGGGTGCCGGAGTCGTCCCGAACGGCCGCCGAGGACCCGAGTTGGACCCGAAAGCCAGACGCCCTCGCGTCGCGAGAATGTGCGGGCAAGATTTATGTCCACATCCAGTGCGTCTTGGATTTGCTTGGAAGGGGTGCCACGAGGCCGAGTCGCACTGGATACGGAGAAACGTTGAGCCTCCAGGGGGCACATGTACTCCAGATTTCGTAATAAAGGGAGGGGGGTCTCATTTCGGGGGGGGGTCTCGTCCAGGCTGTCTTGGAGGGCCTGGGGGGTCTGGGGACGATGTTTTGGAGGGTTCTGCCACGGGGGAGGTCTGAAATGGCTTGTCTTGGAGGGTCCAGACCCCCTCTACGAAATCTGGAGTATCCACATCAAGTGTGCCTCGGGTCTCTGGGGAAGGGAGCACGAAGCTCCATGTCACAGGGGATATGGACAGACGCACTGCCCGCAGAGTGATCACGACGGAAGTTCTGTGGACAGCTGTCGGCCTCGGGAGGCCCTGCGCGGCCCATCGACAACTATGCTCAGGCCAGCGGGGCTTCGGGCAGGCCGCGGGCTCGACCGGGGCGCGCAAGATCCAGAGATCTAGGCGCATCGAGGAAATCGAAGCGGCCGGCTTCTGGTCATCTCTGGCCTGTGTTTGCTGGCTTCGGGTTCCGGGGCCGTGAACCAACTACCCAGAATCTAAACCCAATCCCCATGGAAGGGGTCGAGAGGTCGTCAGGACCGTGCGTCGACGGATTGATGCACCAGATGAGATGTCTGGCGACGGGGGTTCGGAAGTGTCCAGAGGTGCTCAGAAGTTTCCTGAGGTGGTTGAGACCTTGGATAGTTCTCTTAGTATGTGTTGCGCGTCGTCGTGCCCTGTCTCCCTAATTAAAGCTGTCCGTAGCCCGCCTAGCTTTTAGTGGAAGAGGTTCGCTCTCGCCCCGCAGATCGAAAAGTGTTGCGCATCGTCAACGGCCTTCCGCGATGCCAGACTTGCTCAACCGGCCGCATGAGGGCCGAGCTATGGACCGACAGCCAGTCTGGTCGCATTTGGCAGGGGACAGCGTATCCCCTCTGATCCCCCCTGACGCACGTAATTGTCACGATTTGACCGCGCTGTTGCTTCCTGAGTTTAAGCAGCCCCAGAAAATCCAGCTCCCTGTGGCAAGTCCCGCCACCGTGCCAGCACAGCATGCTGGGTGGCTATTGCTCGAGGGAGGAAGAGCCGTGATGAGGATGAGGATGAGGATGAGGAGCAGTGTAAACCCAAGATTCATCAACGATATTGGAACAAACCTTCCCCCAAAGCTCCCTCTCCACAGACCCCTTCAGGAATTAATTTCCACTGCGGGAAGTGCTCCGTTGGGAGACAGCGAGCGAACCACGCGAGCATGCCTGTCGGCCGCTCGGCCCTGTGCAGGGCATGGGTGTACAAGTCGACCACCAGCCAGACAACTTGTATGAAACGTTGGCAGAATGTGGATTTGGGAATTCAGAAAAAATGCAACAGAAAGGGGGGGAAGCGGAGGAAGGAGGGGGAAAGGGGGGGGGGGAGGAGGAGGGAGGGAGGGAGGAGGAGGGGGAAAAAGGGGGGAGGAAGGAGGGGGAAAAGGGGGGGGGGGAGGAGGAGGAGGAGGAAATGCAGAACTTGATGTACTGCTCCTCCCTGCCCGGCGTCTGCAGCGCCTGTTCCAGAGAATCTGCCCCGACTTGCGTGCAGAACTGTTTGAAATCATCCATCCATTGCAGCGATGGTCTGCCTCGTGCTCGCTTGTGAGCAGACTGCAGATGTCGAAGAGCAGGTGCCCGTTTCTCAACTCCTCCACAGGAGAGCCGGCGAGCCAGCCGCCGCTTCAAAGGGAACATTTTCTCCGACACGTCCGGGGAGGGCGCCGTGGACAGCATGTTCGACACGCGCATCTGCATCCTGCGCACTGTGTCCTGCCAGTTCTCGCCTTCCGCTCTCCTCCAGCCAGCCATAGTTCGGACCATCTTTGTCCGCGTTCCCCGGAGCATGGCGTGGTGCTGCCGCTTCAGCGCCAGGCTGGCCAACCCGTGCAACAGGACTGGCAAGACCGTGGAGCTAAAGAGCTTGATGCGATGCCTGGCGCCGACATGCTGGCTCATCAGAGTTTGGCGTTTTTGCTGAAATTGGTGCCATGCCGCTGGTATCCTCGTCTTGACGGCAATTGATGCCTTGTTTTTTGAGAAGTTGAGGGCTCTCCCCAAATATGCGTGAGGTTCGTCTGGGGACAGCACGTGAAAGCTGCGGCCTGCAACCCGTTCGATTTTGCAAGTGCCGGGTGGCGCACCAACGTCTCTGGAGGATAAGATATTGGTCTTCGCGGCGTTCAGTTGCAGCCCTACGGCTTGGAATTCTTCAATCAAGAGCGAGAGCATGATTTTGGCGTGCTCCAGCGAGCGAGCATAAAGCAACACATCGTCTGCGAATCGGATGTTTGTGAAGCGTTCTGCCTGTCCTGGGAATTCCCACCCCTGCGTTGTGAGGGGGCCCTTCCACCTGTCGAACACCATCTCCATTACTGCCTTGAATCAGCGCGGACTCAAGACGTCGCCCTGGCGAACGCCCCGGAAGAGCTGAAAGACGTCGCTTGTGCCAGCTTGACCCGTCCGTACCCAATACAGCTCTTGCAATAAGGAAGCGTGCGCCTCATCTACACCTTGCTGCAATGTTGCTTCGATAACCGATTCGTGGAAGATTTCATCGAACGCCTTGCTGAGGTCCCTTCTTTGGGAGACAATGAATTGAACATCCTGAAGCAGACCAAAAGATCATTCTCGGGACGTCAGCGCCATGAGTCAACCTGACTGTTGCGTCCTGGCGATCCTGGATCGTGCCCGAACTCCATTCTTGGGTTTCCAACTTTGCGAGTCAGCGTCATTGTTCCGCTCTGACCATCGGGGGTCACACCACTTCTGGTAATTATGTTAACCATGGGAACCAGGGGCACTTCTTCCACGTGTTTAGAACGAATACGCGCGGCGCTGATGAAACGCCCGGCGATACTGCGCACCGCGAAGACACACGACAATAGGATACATTGCGCTGGTTGCCAACTTGGGAGCCCGCGACTGCAGACCAGGAAGCCACCAGGTAGGCTACACGGGGCTGCTGGCACTGTGGCGCCGCATGGAAAGACCGAACCCATTGGCTGTCTGGCGCCGTCGCCGCCCGCGTACGAGGGACACCTTGGGCCCAGCTGGCAGAGTTGGTTCTCCACCGAATAGCGTGACGCGCGGTGAATGCGAGCCTCGTGAAAAAAGAATATACGGGAATAAACATAGACAGCTGCGGCGACGCCAGCACTGAAGGCGGATAGCGGCAGTTGTTGGTTGCGCGCAGTAAGAATATAGGAGAAGAAGAACCAAACCCGATTAGGCTCTGACGGGGAGCAGGCACCGCGCGGTGCAGCCGCAGCGGTTGCCCCATGGTCCAGCGCTCCGTGCTGTGTCTGCACCCCGCCGCGCGGGTGTGACGGCCACCTGTGACTGGAGAGCGACTCCAGCCAGGCAGTACGGGCCCGAGGCCCGACGAGGCAAGGCGACTACAGAGATGCTCGTGGTGATGGTTGTGATGGTCATCGTGTTGACGATGATGGTGAGGGGGATGAGGATGAGGATGCGGATGAGGATGATGATAATGGTGATATGTGGCGGTAATAATGATGAGGATGAGGATGATGATGGGTTGCTGGTGATTCTCACGACGAGGAGGAGGAGGAGGAGGAGGAGGAGGAGGAGGAAGGAGGAGGAGGAGGAACACGAAAAACAGGAGGAGGAACAGGAGGAGGAGGAGGAGGAGGGCTACGAACGACGTTTTGTCCAGCCACAAGGAATCCGCAATCAGGACAAGAGGCAGAAGAAGAACGTCAAATGTGACATATTCTATGTTCAGTATTTGAAGAGCTTTGTGGATATCGTTTAGATCGTCTTGGGGCTGTCTTGGCCTCCCGTGAGGCAATCTTTGGATCCTTTGGAGGCCCCTTCGGTGGGTGTCCGGGGGCCGTTTTGGGCCGTCGAAGAGGCCTTGCAAAGGGTGTTTTGAGCCCCAGTGGCGGGGGCAGGAGTCCAGATTTCTGAGGAGCCACCTCGTGAAGCAAAATTCACGGCGCTGGAGTTTTGGAGAGGGTCGCGCTTGGCAAGCCACCGTTGAATGCGGGTCCGGAGCGGGGGCCAAAGAGATTGGCGCAGTGCTCAACCAGGGTTTCTCTGTTCATTTGGAGCAAAAGTTGCCTGTTGCATGTCCATGTCTCAGCTCTTCGCTGGGCGATTTCATCCTTGTTTCGATCGTACGTCACATTGTTTAGTCAGTGTGTCAGCTTTTCTTTCTCAGCTCGGAAGGGTTACGTTGATTTGCGCTGTGTTCGCGTTTTCTGTACCCATCATGTTCCAGGAGAGACGAAGACGCATTCGCACATCAACTAATACGTGTTTCCAGACAGCGCATTGCGGGAGCCTTCGTGACGTGAGGGCGGCATCGCAAACCGGCCACACTGTCATGTATTTAATTGACTGGGCACGGGCGTCTTTCCCAGACATCTGGCGTTGAGTTTTTGCACAGTGTTGCTCCCCAGAGGTCCAGACCTGTTTTCCTGGATCGGTGATGCGTCCCAGGTCGTCTTCCACGGTCGGGGAGCCTTGCGAGGGCCCCCAGTGATCGGAAACGGCCACCAACATCCCGTAGTGATTTTTTCGCGACGCGAGTTTGCATGTATCCGGTCCATTTTTCGGGTCTCTGGCGGCCGTTCGGGGCGATCCGGGCACCCATGGACAGCCCTCAGCGAGGCGCAGCTGCTGGAAAGCTTCCGAGGATTCACCGCTTCTGGGAATCGACGCAAAACGCCAGAAAACCTCGATTCTCAACCTCCCGCCGTTTTTTCTTGTGTTCTCCTGCGACGCGAGGTAGGGTGTCAGGGTGTTCGTGCTTCTGCCGGCCGGGCCAACCTCTTTGTTGCCCTGGCCTCCAGCGAGGCAGGCGCGGGCGCTGGCAGCTGTCCCTCGCGGCGCTGTGCGAGCTGGCGGCCGAGGGGGTGCGGCCCGACACGGCGGTGTACAACGCGGCCATCGCCGCGTGCGCCACCAGCTCAAGTTGGGCCGCGGCGCTGTCGGCGCTGGACCTCGCCGTGGGGCCCCCCAGAGCTCCGCCCTCGTATCACGCAGCAAGAAGAGAGCCCCATTTGTGTTTTTATCGCGAGGATGGGCGTGACTGGGCGGAGGAGGGGGCATACTGTACTAACGTTACGATTCGCGGCAGCGCAGTCGTGGAATGCGTGTGGGTGGCCAATTCCCAGACGACGGCAGCGCAAATCGTGACGTGACCAGTGGGTGTAGAGGGGGAGGAGTGGCGGGGCTGGTATTCAGTCGGGCGTGTCCCCCTATAGGGGGATTTTGGGCGAAAAAGAAAAATACTCAAAACATACCCCCAAAATATTCAAAACTAGTCCACAAATCGTCCCCAGAGCATTTTTTGACTATTTGTGACTATTCCCCCTGCAGAGGGACACGCCCGACTCAAGGCTGGCTTCTGGAGCAGGTTTCGTTTTTCAGGGGGGCGCTCGGGGCCCAGCACCGTCGATCGGCGGCGCCTTCCTTTTCCTGTGCGCTAATTTAGGCCGTTGCCCCTGCGCGTCGCTCCTGGACGCCGCCCGACCTTTTCGCCGCGGTCGCGATCAAAAAGTATTCCCCTCCCTTCCTCCCTCCCTCCCTCCTCCTCCGTCCTCCTCCCTCCTCCTCCCTCCTCCTCCTCCTCCTCCTCCTCTCCCCCTCTCCTCCTCCCTCCCCCCCTCCTCCTCCTCCTCCTCCTCTCCTCCTCCTGCTCCTCCTCCTCCTCCTCCTCCTCCTCCTCCTCCTCCTCCTTCTCCTCCCCTCCTCCCCCCCTCCTCGACCCAGGCATGGTACGGTGCTGAGACAGGGCCGACAAACTGTGCCCCGTACCGCGCTGGACCAGGGCCCGGAAGGAATCCCAACACTGTACACGGTGCGCGGGCACCGTTCTCGTATCTCTGAAGGCGGCGGGGCTTCTCAGAAGCCCTCGGGCCTTGCGAGAAGGCCGGAGGCTGAGCCTTCTGAGAAGGCCAGAGCTTGAGCCTCTGCCCTCCCCCGGGGCGCGCCGCGGATCCTGGGGCCCAGGACCGTCAAAGCATTTTTTGTCCGTTGGGGGTGAAGAGCTGGGCGAGCGGAAGCTTCCAGGGGGGGCAAAGCCCAGGCGTCGGAGGTCTGGGAAGAAGTGGAGGGGTCGGAGGTTGGAGGCTCCACGGACGCGGGATCCTGGGGCCTTCCCCGGCCCTCGGGATCAGCAGAAGACGGCGGGGAAGCCCCGGCGGCCCAGGAGGCCTCGGAGAACGATGACATGTTAGGAGGGGGCGAACACACACAGACACAATGGATCGTGGATCCCCAAGAAAACGTTGACAAACATGGGGGGGGGGAAGACGATCATCAAGAAACTATTTAACATACAAGAGAATCTTGGGATTGGTGTGTATTTCTTGGTCTGACCCCTCCGAAACATGAGCATCAGCTGTTGGACGTCCGCGCGGATGTCTGGGGTCGGTGCCGGGGCCCCCCGTGGGCGGCGCCTCTGGCGTCGCCCCCCTGGCGCGCCCCGCGCTCTCAGGGGAAGGGTCGGGGAAACGTAAGGCTCGAGTACGCCGACGTCTTTTGACGAGCGCATCCCGGATTTCTCAGGAGGGGAAAAAACACACAGACACAATTAATCGTCGATTCCCAGGAAAATATGGGAAAATATGGGAAGTGGGGGGGAAGACAAAAACCCTGAAAATATTGGAAAATATGGGGAATCATTTTATTTGTGTGTATTTATTTGTGTGTCCTTGGGCCCCTTCAATTTCGACGGTCCAGTTTCCGTGGGATGTCTGCAGCGCGAGCTCGCGTCAGATTTCAGACTGAGCCTCGTCATTTTCATGACGGCCCTGTCAGGTCAACCCCTCCTCCTCCTCCGCTTTCTCCTCCTCTTCCAGTTGTGTCCTCCTTTCTTTGAACGCCCAAACAGCAGGTTCTCAGAGCCTAGCTTGACATCTTCTGGCAACTTTGGTGTGTACGAAGGAGTCCCAGAATACGACCAGACACAGTGTATCTTTGCATTCAAGAGGGACGCGTGGTGTTTTCGCACAGTCGTAAACAGAGGTGCCGTTCGTGACAGCGTCGGCCTGCCCCGTGTGGTTGGTTGTGGCAGGTCCTGAAGAGGATAGCCAACCACACGCCGAAACGCTGGAGACGGACTGGACCAGGGGTGCCCGAAAGAGTGGGCAGACTCAGTCCCAGACCAGAAAGGAGACCAAAGGAAGTTGCGCAGTCAACTGCTTCTCGGCGACCCTGGCGCGGCACAGCCGTTGCAAGGCGAGCCTGAGGCAGGTGTACAACAAATGCCTTGTATGTTGCACGAACATGGATACGCTTGGCAAAAAAGGTTATCAGCCGAAAGTCTCTCCAGGAGCTCGTTTTCGGTTGTGCTGCAAGCACAATGGGCGCGATCAAACGATTGGAAAAATCGATCACCCTGAACACTGCCGGTGCTTCCTCACGGGCCCTCGGAACACGTTGCGTCGCATGCCCCGCCACGAGCGCTTAACGCAGGGGTCGGGTGGTTCACACCCCTGGGCCGTGGGTAGTGTCCGCTCAAGGAGGAGGGGGCGATCGCCCGGCTTAGCTGCGGTTGCCAGCGGTGTCACGAAAGAGGGGGCAGTTGTTTCTTCCTTTCTTCGAACGCCAAAACAGCAGGTTCTCAGAGCCTAGTTTGACATATTCTGGCAATGTTGGTGTGTACGAAGGAGTCCCAGTATACGACAAGACACAGTGTATCTTTGCACTCAAGAGGTACGCGTGGTGTTTTCGCACAGTCGGAAACAGAGGTGCCGTTCGTGACAGCGTCGGCCTGCCCCGTGTGGTTGGTTGTGGCAGGTCCTGAAGAGGATAGCCAACCACACGCCGAAACGCTGGAAACCAGGGGTGCCCGAAAGAGTGGGCAGAGTCAGTCCTAGACCAGAAAGGAGACCAAAGGAAGTTGCGCAGTCAACTGCTTCTCGGCGACCCTGGCGCGGCACAGCCTATGCCAGGCGAGCCTGAGGCGGGTGTACAAAGAATACCTGGTACGTTGCACTAATATGGATATGCTTGGCAAAAGACTCTTCCTGCCGCCCTGAGGGTGGGGGCCTGGCACCTGCTCTCACGGTGTCAGCGCCACTCCTCGGGGAACGCCGTCAAAGTCGACTGCATGCGGCGACTGGGGGCAGCTAGACCGGCTCTCGCCTTTTCGGAGCCAGCCACGTGGCAGTTTGCCCGTGGCAGCGGCGCCAGCCACGCTCCGTCACCTGGAGATGGGTACCAGGCGCGGGGGAATGCGCATTTGGTGGGGAGGCGGGGCCACGCGGCCCGTAAGTCCCACGGTGGCCTTGTGTCCGCCCGCCCTGGGGGAAAACCCAGTTGCGCATGCCAGCTGATTGGGCTGGGGTTGCTAGTCGGGAAGAACCTCGCAGTGACGAGGTGAAACGGCTGCCCCCCACGCACCACGCCCTCTCGGCTGGGGGACAAGTCGCTGGGCGACGGGCGCGGCGCCAAGCTAAGAAGCCCCGCGCGAGCCTGCGAAAATTTATAGAAGATCGAGGTCGGTTCGGGGAGGGTGCCCAGGTGTTCTTCGCGTTCGTTGCCGCCCTTGGCTGCCAGCAGCCGGCGCCCACGCCTGCCCCGGGCCTGGTCTTGCCGCCCGCTGCTGGTGCCGTAGCCTCGATTGGCTCCGTCCGCTCCCGCTCCGAGGTTGGGCAGCCATCTGGCTATGATACTGTTCGTCACGCGCCTGTTTACCCCAGATTTCCATTCCTGCATGGAGCACCGCCGCCGCCTGGCCCGCTGACGCGGCAGCCGCCGCGGACTCGCCGGCGGGGCTGGCCGCGCCGCTCGCTCGGGGAGCGATCCGTCCCCTCCTGAGCCGTTCGCTCCGTCCGCCCCTCTTTCGGCCGCTCCCCCCCCTCCGCTCCTCCTACTGCACGGTGGCACAATTCGCCCTAACGGCATCCCCGTGTAGGCCTCCCATCGCCAGCGCAGACGTCCCGTGCCTAGCCGCCGACGCAAAGACAAAAAAAGTGTTTGTTGGATGTTCTTGCGCATCGTGGGGAGGGTACCCGTGGATGTTCTGCTCTTTTTGGTCGGCGGAGGGACTCGTGTACTTGAGAGATGGTATTCTGGCCCAGGTCCAGCGTTGCAGTCGGGCTGCTGACATAAGGGACGCTAGAGAAGGAACGCAGCCTCTTCTTGACACCGAAAACACGTGCGTGGACAAGGACCGTCAGAAAAGCAGCCAAGGAACATCGTGCCCCTTCCGAACACAAGCCGTTCTTTAGTTCAGCGTCTTGGCTGTACGTATTTTACGGGGCCGGTGATCGTCAGGACGTGTGTTGGCCCAGCGTGTGTTTATCCTGCTCGACCCCCACGACCGCACGCAGCCTGCGTCGGCTCCAATGCTTGCATCGCCTGCGTCGGACAGTGGCTGGGCACATCAAACAAGAAGTCGGCCTGCCAGCAGGTGCCCAGCATAAATGTATGATCCCTTGCTGGCCCCAGGAGCTCACGCAAGCTCTGGGGCACCTTCGGGCCCACGACCATCGACGAATCGTGTTCCACAAAAAAAGATGACAATTTTTTTGATCGACCAATCCGTCTTGCAACAAGAACTCTTACCGTGTGGGTCTACTGTATTGAGCGGCTTCGGTGGAGAAGCGCACGTTGGGGCCGGCACGCGTTCCGAGGGTCATCGACAGGACCGCATGCGGAGCGGCACGGTGAGAGCGGACGTCATCACCTACAACTCGTGCATCACCGCCTGCTGCAACGGCCACCGGGGCGCCGCGGCCTCGCTGCTGCTGGAGGAGATGCGCGCCCGGGACCTCCGCGCAGACTGCGCCACGTACGGGGCCCTGATCAGCAGCTGCCGCGGGGGCCGCTTCTGGGAGCGCGCGCTCGCGCGCCTGCGCGAGCTGCGCGAGCTCGCCGTGCGCCCCAACGCGGCGGTGTACAACGCCGCCATCAGCACGCTGGAGCGGAGCCACCACTGGGGGAGGGCGCTTGCCCTCGCCGCGGGCATGGAGCGCGGCGCGGTGGCCCCCGACGCCGTGACTTTCAACGCCACCATGTCGGGCGACAAAATGTATACACTTCCACTGTTCCCCTTGCCCGGCCCTGCCTGGGTCCAGGAGCTGCGAATGTACGCCCTCCTGGCCGTCCTGGCCAGGCCAGGAGGGCGTGGCGTATACGCCGCCGCCGGGGTTCAGGATGGGCTGGCCTGGCTTGGCCCTGCCTGGACCCAGGAACTGCGAATAGACGCCCTCCTGGCCAGGCCAGGAGGGCGTGGCGTATACACCGCCGCCGGGGTTCAGAATGGGCGTGGCCGGGGAGCAGTGGATACACTCAACGCGCATTAGTAAGGACGCGCGCCTTTTCTAGGGCAACCCTTTTGTCCTTGCCTCTGTGGCCCGTCCGTTGCCGCCTCCACTGGCCAGCCTCTCAGGGTGCCCTCGGGGTTTGCTCGCTCGCCGCCCCAAAAGTCCCAACTTCGGCCTCCAAGAGGGGTTTCGCGTCCTTGCCGCCCGTCCTTAACATACTGTCGGGGCCCTGAGGAAGGAACCCTTTTCGTTGGGGAGGGGCTCGGTGTTCCTTAAGTGTTTCGCAGCTTGCCTCAGGTTGTCCTTATGTTTTCGATGGGAAATCGAAGTTGAACTTATGGAAAAAAGGGGCCTCGTTCCTTATTTAGGGTTCCTTAGGTCAACGCCCCGACTGTACGCTCTCGCTGCATGTATCCATTCCGTCGCCCTGCCGTCAGCGCCTGCGAGGCAGGCTCGGAGTGGCCGCGCGCGGTGCAGGCCTTCGCCCGCATGCGATGGGCAAATGCTCCACCGCCGCTACCACAGGTGGAACGGGGGAGAAGGGAGGACGAGGAGGTCCTCCTCCTCCTCCTCCTCCTCCTCCTCTACCCTTTCCTCCTCCCTCCCTCCCTCCCTCCTCCTCCTCCTCCCTCCATCTCCTCCTCCTCCTCCTCCTCTCCTCCTCCTCCTCCCTCCTCCTCCTCCCCTCCTCCTCCCTCCTCCTCCTCCTCCTCCTCCTCCTCCTCCCCCTCCGCCTCCTCCTCCTCCTCCTCCTCCTCCTCCTCCCTCCTCCTCCTCCTCCTCCTCCTCCTCCTCCTCCTCCTCCCACCTCCTCCTCCTCCCTCCTCCTCCTCCTCCTCTCCTCCTCCTCCTCCTCCTCTCCTCCTCCTCTCCTTCTCCTCCTCCTCCTCCTCCTCCTCCTCCTCCTCCTCCTCCTCCTCCCCCTCCTCCTCCCGGTAGCGGCGGTGGAACATGGGCCCTCGCCCGCATGCGCGCGCGGGGCCCGCCGCCCAACGCCATCTCGCTGGCGGCCGCCCTCGGCGCCTGCGCCAAGGGCCGCCGCTGGGAGCTCGCCGTGCACCTGCGGGCCGAGGCCGAGGGCGTGGCCCCCGGCGAGGCCCGCAGCGGCCCCGCCCTCGGCGCCATCTCCCCGGCTGCCTGCCAGAGGTGGCCCTGGGGCCGGCCCCCAGGTGGTCCCCAGCCTTTCGCGAGGGTCCTCGTCCTCGTTCTCGTCCTTCTCGTCGTCCTCCTCCTCCTCCTCCTCCTCCTCCTCCTCCTCCTCGTCCTCGTCCTCCTCGTCGTCGTCCTCCTCCTCGTCCTCGTTGTCGTCGTCGTCGTCGTCGTCGTCGTCGTCGTCGTCGTCGTCTTCGGGTCATGGGTTCGGGGCTCCAGGGACGGGGGTCAGAGCGAACGGGGGTCAGCCAGAGCGCCGGATCTTGCAGGATCCTGCAGGGCCGGGGGTGCATTGACCAGGGCTTGGGTGCAGGATCCTGCAGGATCCTGCAAAGCCTGATTGACCCGGGCCTGGATGGATCCAGGAGGAAGAACCACCCAGACCCCGACAATTGGCGTGTATTAGACGGCTTGGGGCGTTTTCGAAACAACCCTGCCCTGTTCGATGCCTCCCTTGGGTGCGTTTACTAAGCGGCTTCGCTTGTCGGGATGCCTCTTGTGGGGGGGTGGATGTTCTGCCCTCTGGGGTGGCCCCCAGCCTTTCCGGAGAGGCCTGGGACGCCTCCCCAACGGCCTCGGCGTCGAATCTTCGTCCGCACCGGGCGTCTTCGCCCGATGGGCGGGCCCCGGGGCCGTCACGGACTGATCCAGCTGGAGACGTGCCGCAGATCGGGAGCGGAAAAGAGGGGGGTGATGACTAGGGGGGGGGGTGGATATCATGGCGTGGGCCATGATATTACCCCAGATCTCATGGCGCCTCTTCTTATGTCATTACGTCCCTGGCCCCCCCGCTGGGCCGCGCACGTGCCGCCGGTCATGATTTGCACCCCCCCCTCTTGGACACCCCCCTCTTGGCCGCTCCCGAGCAGAAGATGGGGTCTGTAGGGCTCTGGTCGTGAGGACTGTCGACGTGTGTGCATCGTCTCGCGACGTCGGGTCTCGGGGTACAGGTCGGCCACGCGCAGAGGGGGGTGGGGGGGGGCGGGGGGAGGGCTTCTCAGAAGCACCCCTGCTTCTTGGAAGGCGCGGGCCTTAGCCATAGATGCAAGGCCAGCGCCTTCTGAGACAGCTGCCTCCTTCTGAGAAGCCCTCCCCGCGCCCCCCACCCCCTGTGTTCGCACCGCCCCCGGCACGAGCCAAGGGAGCCCCATGGGTCGGGCCGGACGAAAGGGGAGGGAATTGGGAAAGGGGGGGGTCCGAAGTCTGCTGCATGCAGCTGGTTTCGGCCCCACCGAGGGGCCCATTCCTCGATGCGTGGCCGCCTAGTGACGTCCACTACACAGGATCTGGCGGCCCAAGTTGCGTCAGGAGGTCGCCGCGGGGAGACCTCCTGACGATGGTTTTGGCGGCTCTACGGTCCCCGCCAGTAGGGAGTGAGCACCGTCCTGAACCACGGTTGAACCGACCAGGGACCGACCAGGAGGAGGAGGAGGACGACGACGAATGGCGGTACGAAGAGCAGAAAGTCGATGAAAAATAGGAAGAGAGAGCGGTGATGAAGAGGAGAGGTAACTCCTACTCGGGCTCTACTCAGGATTCCTCACCCGACTCAGCAGCATCATTCCTCGGTCCTCCGACGTCCTCCGAGAGCACGGGTCCGCAGTTTCTGCGCGTCGGGTCGAGCGGCGGCAGCATCTGGGAGGCGTCGGCGTCGGGCGTAGATACACCACGCCAAGCAATCGAGCCGTGAAACCGTGCCCAGAGCGCGAGCGAGAGTCAGAACCAGAGAGTGAGAAGGATGAACATTATCGGAGCGGGATGCTCCGCAAATGGGACCGTGGTGTGGCATGAGGTGAGTCGGGGAAGGGTTCCGAAGCACGCGGGAGCGAGGAGATGTGGACGTGGATGCGCTGAGGACGAGATGATGCGATGTGGGCGGGGGGGCAGCGAGGCTGAGAGAGGCAACACAGGCAGAGGTGGCGTGAGGAGGCGGGTGGTGGGAAGTAAGGATGCCGCGACGATCCCAGTGGTGATCTTAGACGGGTGTGAGGCAACGGGAGCGAGGTCAGCGGAGTGGGGGACGGGAACTCGCGACACGGTCCCCGCACGGGGGCACCGGCCGCGGGCGGGCGGCGCGTGCCGCGTGCTGCGCGCGCAATGGCGCCGAGCAGCCCGAAGGCCTGCTGCGCCGATGCTGCTGCTATCAGCACTGCGCACCACGGGGGGGGGGCACCCGTCGTGCAGTATCATGCAAGGTGGTGAGGGGGAGAGAGCGGGGGATAGGATCGAGAGACGAGAGAGAGAGAGAGAGAGAAAGATAAGGGGGGAGGGAGCGGGAGAATGGAACAGGGAACTGGCGGTAGACGATAGGAGTGTACAGTGTACAGTACGGATGACGAGTGGTAGGAGTACGAGGAGGGTGAGGAGTGAGGAGGGCGCGACCGCACGAATGGCTGCACGGCATGGTAGTCCCCCCCCGTGTGATGTCGCGCTGGCCGCCGTCGAAAGTCATCACATATCGTCGATTTGGCATGACATCATCAGCGCCATCCTCATCATCACCATCAGCATCACCGTCATCACCATCAACATCACCAACATCACAATCGTGCGTGGCGCCTCCGCCTGCACCAACATCTCAGCATGTGGCATCATCGTAGTATCGATGTCGTCATCGTCGCAGCCGGCGGCCGCAACCTCTACTTGAGGAGGTGCTTGTTGCAGGCGGCGTCTGCAGCGCGCGCGGCGGCCGCCTTCGGGCCCTGCACCGCACTGGGCTTGCCAGACGCCGCCTGCGCGGCCTGCAGCGCTACGGAGCACCCCAGCGTGACGGGGTACAGGCTCGCCGCGCCGCCTGGAGCCTTCTTGGCCAAGGCGGCGCGCTGCCGCCCTGCGCCCTCAGCCTCAGTGGTCTCGCGCGTGAGGACCAGGCGCTCCACGGCGCCGCCGCCGAAGTTGAGCTCCTTGGAGATGAGCCTGGGCTGGCACGCGCACCAGTGCCAAACCAACCCTCCCCGGGGGCCCTCCTCCCCTCATGAGGCCCCTGAGGGCCCCCTCGGCCGCGGGCCCGCTGTCGCAGTCGACATCTCGCACTAACCCCGAGTAACTCCACAGGCCCCACAGGCTCGCCCACCCCCCCAAAAAAAAACAGATGAGGGATGAGGATGAGTGGCGGGGTGGGGGGGTGGGGGGGTGGAGGGGGGGGGGGGGAAGATGATGAAGGCGAGGACTCGAGGACGAGGATGGGGATGAGGAAGGTGAGGACGAGGAGGGATGAGGAGGGCGAGGACGAGGAGGGTGAGGATTCGGATGATGAGGGGGATGAGGATGAGGAGGACGATGAGGATGAGCATGACGGAGAGAGGTGGAGGGAAGACACGTGAGACTCGAACTGACCGATAGACCGCCGTCGGCCGTCACCGACGCCTCGGGATCTTCAGCGGCACTTCGTGCATGACGTAACCATCCTCCGAGTGGTCCTCGAAGTCGCACACGCCGTCCTTGTCGATGTATATGCTGACGTCCAGGATGTTGGGGACGACGGTGGCCATGTCCGCCTTGGCCATCGCTTTGATGTACCAGGCCACCTCAGGGAACTGCGTCTGCGTGATGACCGTCGTGGCTGGCGGGTTGAGGAAGAGCGGCACGCCGAACACCTCGCTCGGCGGTCGGCGACGTGACGACGCGATGATCTCGACTCTCGACTAGCGAATCACCGATCGAACGGTAGAGGTGAGGTGAGACGGAGGAACATGAGGAGGGAGGGGGAACGGCGGGGGAACGGAGAGGTATGAGGGGACGAGATTCGAGACTGTGGAGGAGATGCGGAGAAGGAGGAAGCGGCGGCGGAGGAGGAGTAGGGGAGTAGGAGGAGGGTCCTGAGGAGGAGGAGGAGGAGGAGGAGGAGGAGGAGGAGGAGGAGGGGGGGGGGGGCCTGAGGAGGAGGAGGAGGAGGAGGAGTCCCCGGGGAGGAGGAGGCCTGAGGAGGGGGGGGAGATTGGCGAGATTGGAGGGAGAGAATGGGGTCATCGTCATCGCCGCCGTCCGTCGGCGCCTCGCACAGGCTGAACGACTCGGCGTTCTTGCGGGAGAAGCTGACGGGGCCGACGTACTCCAGGCACAGCCGCACCTCCCGCGGGCGGGGGCTCGGTCCCCGACGTCCCCGATCCGACTCCGAATCGGATCGGATGCTGATGCCGAGTCGGACCGACTCGGCATCAGCATCAACATCTGTGGTCCTCAGTCTCATCCTCATCCACCCGCCTCCCTGACCGCAGGCATCCATCACCGGTCATCACCACCTACACCTACGCATACTAGCATGCGCATCCTCAGAATCCTCAGTCCACAGCCTCATCCTAGGGCCTAGGAGGAAGGAGGAGGACCCAGGGGGAGGAGGAGGAGGAGGGAGGAGGAGGAGGAGGAGGAGGATGTAGGTGGAGGGGCGTGGGACGTGACGTGGGATGGTAGTGGTTGATATCATGCGGCACCGCGTGATCTGGCGGCGTCCACATCACCGACGGTTTGTTCTTATCATCCAGCACGATGGACACCGTGTCGAAGCCGTGCAAGCCCGCGTGCTGCGGAAGCGGCTGGAGCTCCTGGGCGCCGTTCGGAGCGGGCCTCTCAATGCCGACCCAGCAGCCATGCTCGCGGAAGTGCTTCCACACCGACGCCTCGATCGAACGCTCGATCGTCTTGAGGAGCAAGCCGTCGACCGAGATACTCAAAGCCTGAGCCATCGGGGAGTGGTCCAGCACGGAGGGGGTCGCGCGGAGCTGCGGGGCCACGTAGTTGAAGAGATCAGCCAGCCGCATGTCGATCGCAGCGGTGGCGGGTGCGGCTGCGGCGTCGTCAGCGCGGACCACGGTGACCACTGCGCTAGACGCGACTGGCGACTCAACACCTGAAGCCGCAGCCACCGCGGCCGTGGAGTCCGTGGAGGCTGCGGAGACAGGGGCGGCGGTCGCGCCGGTCGCCTCGGCGTCGCTCTCTGGCGGCTTCTCCCCAGCACATGTGAGCTGCTGCATGTGCTCGGCGGTGGTGACGGCGGACGCCTTCATGGCCGCGACGACAGTGCGAAGCTCCTGCCCGGACGAGCACTTGAGAATCCTCGACCACAGACCCTGCCACTTAGCCGAGTCATTGGTGCTCGCCTCGAGGCCGATGAGAGTTGTGTACGCCGTATCTGACAACAGAGATCGGTCATTGATGAAGGCCTCCTTCAGCAACATAACGCCAGGCATGAATTCACCAGGCAACTTCTTCAAGACGAGCTGCGAGTGAAGCGTGGAGACCACGTAACATGATCGCATGCGGAGGAAGTCCTCAAGGGCAACCTGAGTCGGGAATATGGACGTAACGAAGTTCGGCAGTGATCCAGCCTTGGCCGTGAACGCCGACACGGCAGCCACCGCCTCGTACCACGCGAACGGCAGATGGTTGTCGATCATCTTGGCGAGCGTGGCCAAGTCGAACGCGTCGACCTTGGCCGATGCACGCATGATGCTGACGAGCTGCTCGTGCATCGTAACCGGCAGGTGGGCGTTGTCGACGACGAACGCGGCGATGGCAGCGGACACCCCCGACACAAGCGACTGCACGTCGTCAATTGTGAGATCGCCATCGTCGCCACCGACGGTCTCCTCGACGGGCCGGCTGCAGCGCTCAACCAACTCCTGCGCAAGGCGCTCTGGGTCGGCGGACGCAAACTCGATCAGGTCGGAGTCAGTCGGCTTCTTGTCCGCGGTGCCACTCGACGATGTGACAGGCAATGGACGGCTGCTGGCCGTGCTGAGTTTCATGAGCACCACGGCCTCTTCTCTGAACTTACTGTAAGCTTTCACGAGCTTCGCATTCAAGGCGACGTTCTTGGTGAAGGTGAACTGGAGAAACAACGACACGATCGTTTGCCTGACCTTATCGACGCAGGCAGCGGGCACATCGCGGCAATGGAACTCGATCGCGTGCAGGATGTCGTCTGCTGCAGTCGTCGGGCGATCGGTTGCCTTGTCAGACAGGGTAACTGGCTGAGTCATGGTGACGAACGGCTCGGCGGTGACAGGGAGTGACGCTGCTGCTGTGCCTCCCTGCGGCTGCAACTGCTGCGGCAGACGCGACGCGCCCTTGCGACGCCTCTTCGGTGCAGGGGGGGCTGGCTGCAGCATGCCTCCGACTCCGCCAGCAGCTCCAGGCGCGACGGTGCCACCAAGAGCAGCGAGCGCGGCGGCCGCCGTGGCAGATACTGCATCCTCGACTGTCTGCGGCGGCGGGACGGGAATCGCCAGGTCTGCCAACTCCTTTGCATGCTTCTCCGTGAGCTTCTTGGCTGCAATTGAGTCGGCCATCGGCGTCGCGAGAAGCTTGAAGAGCTCGCTGGTGACCCGCGAGGGAGCCTGCGAGGTGCCACAAAGCGAAGCGCAAATCGAGTACCGCTCCTCGCGACACCTGCGACAGGGGGGCCCCCATACTGGACAGAATCGTACCGATCGCATCGAATTAACAAATGAACCGAAACGGATCACATCAGTCCGCATCGGTCACATCGGCATCGACGCGACGACGCGTCGGACCGGTTCGTCGACTCGACGACGATGAACCGCCCCGACGGGTCGATGACGAGCTCCGACGAGGCCGCGCGGCCGAATCGGGTCTTGACCGAAGTCACACGACGCGACGTTCCGACGTGACGACGAACTCGATGCCTGGAAGATCCATGGGATGCGCCTCTGGCCCGTGCTCTGCTTCCTGGACAACCGCTCGGGAAGTGGGGCGCAGAACTTCAAGCCCTCGAGGATGACCGTGCCGACGATGTGTTTGGGCCAGTGCCTACCAAGCTCACCAATCACGCTGAGGGTCCAACTGTGCATGATGTTGATCACCGTGAAATTGTTAATCGTCTCATCCAAAAAAAT